ATGAGAAGCTGGAACAACTCTAAGATGTTATCAAGCATCTTGATACCAGTAACTTAAATCCCCAAATGACAGTAGAGCAAAGAATGTCTGGTTAAGAAAAAGAAAGTAAAAAGGTAGCCTATTTCCAACTTCAGACTGCTTTTGATGTCATCTTCACTCCATCTAACTTCAGATGCAGCTTCTGAACAAATTAACTGCACTGACCAAGTTCTTGGGTCAGAAAAAAAGATTAAGCACCTCACATCAAGGTGAGGTATTTTTTTTGCTTTTCTTTTTCCTCCCCTGCTTCTCCAAAATGTATTAGTTGGTATAATAAGAGACATTATCTTTCCCTGTACACATACAATTCACACCTTTAAACAATCACAGCTGTAACACCACAGAGAAGCAGTTGTCTGCTAAGGATCATTGAGTTGTTTTAGGACAGCAATAAGAGGCCTGAACATACTATAAAATCCAATGTCGATATTCATATTTCCTGAAAATCTAATCAACTAAAGACAACAGAGATCTTACAGCCTTTTATATTTTACAAAACAGTGTAGGACAAAAAAAGAGAGAACTCTACAATGACGGCTCCACAAGTTCACAATAATATCCAGCTGTGACATTCTCTGTCTTACCTTGGCATCCCGTTTAAATTTCTGAAGAAATTTTTCCTTTTTCCTGATCCATATATATACATAACAGAAGATCTCCCAAAAAATCATGAGTCAAAATTCTAGTTTCAATCCAAATGCAACTGAAGCAACAGAGAGAATGCCTTTGAAGTAAATAACATTTGGTTCTTTGATTTTAACCTCAATCTGGACTGATTTATTAACTGTAAGTAATGATCAAGTGGTATCTCCCAAATATCCATTCTTCTCCTCTCTCCTTCTTGGTATATTTTGTCAGTACCTTCTTGATGAAGAACTCCAAATGTGTTTATCAACACTTACAGAACAAAATTTGGCACTATTAGGAAACCCCTTCTGTTGGAAATTCTTTTTTTAATCTCAGTGAAAATACCATTTCTCAACATGATTCATCAGACAGCAGAGCTGTTCAGGGTACATACACACACAGAATATTTCATGAGGCCTAGACGTGCATTACTTATTGGTATAATATGGCTGTTGTTTGTGAAACTAAAATCCTCACAGATATTTTTAATCCTTTCATCAGTTTGTTCTATTTAACTCTTATCTCTTCGCAGATTGCTCAAAAGTATATTTTTCAGGACAGAGATCATCTTTTTCTGGCGTGGTTACAGTATCTGGAGCAGTGAGTGTCAACTACTTGAGAAGAATTTCTGGCTATGGCCCTCAAGAGCAATAATCATTCTTTTCACCTGTAAAATCCTCCAGTATCAGTACACCAGCATATTTTTATAATTTCTCACACATACACACATCTCTCTTTTTTTCACAAGAAGCTCAAATGAATCACTGTGGCTACTAATAGAATTAAAGCCATTCCAGCTCAGACGTAATCTCGCACCTGAAGCACGGCCTATTTAAAATATGCAATTTGGAGATGAAATTTTTTCCTCCAATTTCCCGTTCCACGGAGAAGAAATTTAGCAAATTCATCGATGGTGTTGTAAGGGCCATGGCTGAAGTGAATAGGAAATAAACCCTGCCCAATACAGAGCATTATCCAGAAATAAACAGTAGCCTGTGACACGTGTATGATTAGAGAAATTGGAGGCTTTGCCCAAAAGAGCATGTGTTCCACAGCAAATCCTATTTCCCTCACTCTCCCTTTGGATATGTGTAAATCATAAAAGACTATGTTTTCCTTGCATATAACATCGCAGTTTCTTTTTTTTTTCCCAATATTGGTGTTGAATGAATTCACAGAACAAGGAACAAAACAATCTAGAGCTCAAACCTTTTCAGACCAACTGACTTGCAAGTCAGAAAATGTATAAGGAGACCAGAAGAGCAGCTTTTACATCTCACAGGGATCTTATATGATGGTTCTTTTCCCCCATAAATACAAGACATTAGATATTTCTTTTGAATTTTTTTTTAATTCCTTGCTAAGAAAAAAAAATTGATGACACAAAATGTCTGATGTAGAAGTCCAAGTCACAAGGAAGAAAAAATTAACTCGCCAACTTCCAAGTAAAAAAAAATTCTATTAGTTCTATTCCAACGCAGGGAAGTGAACATCAAATAAACCAAGTTTATAATAAAATTATAAAAATAATGTTGAAAATATTAGGGCTGTCACTGAAATGCTACAGAACTTAGCTCGATTACCTGCCCTTGTTGCTGAAGCACAGCAGCAACCTCAGACACACGTACCAGGAGCACGGAAGCAATCATTCTGAAAAAGACTTCTGGATGATAGGGAAAAACAAATTAGGCCTGAGTTTCCATAGTGATCCAGCAACAAAAGGCTGCTGCAATTTCCAGCTGTCTATACTGAGACAGTAACAGAGCAAAGGGACCACAGTCCCTTCTCTGAAAGTTGGGATTAGTGTACTCGGAATCGTCCATTACATTTTAGTTCTGCACTATAAAGAAAATATTGAAGGAAACTGGAAGAGGTAGAATAATAATAAAAACAAGAAGTTCTGCAAGAAGTAAAATTACTCAATGCTATGGATTTGGATTTCATGGTTGGATTCTCTGGTATCTTAAAAATGCAAATTCCAATGAGTACTTTCTCCTATTCATCTCCTCTGTGGATTCTCTGATGTTTAATAAGAAATGATCTCATACTATAGCCTGGCTGCCAGTGGGAACACTAATGGCTCTCTTGCCCATCTGGCAGCCTGTTTTCCCAAAACTTACAGGAATTCCTGTCCAGTGGTGCTGAAACTGGCCAAGAGTTAAGAAGCTATTGAGGGAGAAAAGAGAGGAGAGAGATCAGCAGCCATACAAAAAGCCAGGCTAGCAAGCAGACAGTGTGATCATATAAGCTTTGCTTCCTTGGGAAACTAGGCTAATTACCAAAGGGCTTCAAAGATTCACTTATGAGGAAAGTCCAAAGGCCCCAAAGCGGAAAAATACTTAAAAGGTAAAGTGGTCTATTGGATATAGGGCTGAAAGAACCAAACGTGATAGCTAGGTTGAGACACAAATGATGAGGAATGTTATAATTTACAGAAATATAAATGTTAGCCAAGGATGATGAGGATTTATTTGTACCAAGAGGAGTTATTACTAAGCAGAATTGCAACTGGGAACTGTGGGATTAAATAAAGGAAAGCTTTAGGCTAAAAATCAAGCAACACTGTAAGTGAGAGGAGTCTATGAAGCAGTTTTGAGCCATAGGAAATGGAGGCTCCATGCCTTAAGAAAATTAAAACCGGAAAGTAAAAAACCTTTTCTCTACAGAATGTTAGTGCATGGACAGGAAGATTGGCAGGAATGTCTAATAGGTCTTTGTTTTCATTTATCACTAGATTAATAACACAAAATGCTGCACTAATAGATAATATATAAACCAAATAAAAGTAGCTACTCTTTGTGAGTTCTCATCCAAACGGCTGAAACCAGACCTAGTATATATAACTGTATAAATGTGCCTTCCTCACACACTACCTATATGATAAATCAAAAATAAATACAATATTATACAGATAATGATTTACAGACAGTTACTAAAATATCTACTTTTACACATACTGTGATCAAAGTTACTCGTGTATTAGTGCAACATTTTTAAGCAATACTGAATAGCTTGAGTTTCCATGTTACTGTTTTCTAGTAAAAACATAAAATAAAATAATCAAAATGCAGAAAACAGATTATGCAGTATGTTTGATGTAGCAACTTCTAACTTTCATTTAATATAGCTGAGCTGTAATGACTAATACTGCCCATGGCCTCTAGTACAAAGGCCTAAAAAGGGTTCCAGACTAGATTACGGCCATGCAGGTCTCATTTTAACGGAAATTGGAGAGATGGAAAAAAGATTATAGGAACACACATTATAAAAACAGACCTCACAAGTCAAACTTAATAGTGGAACCATTCTCTTTCATGTAGACAACCATGAAAACAAATATCCTGTAAGCCCTAGATATATATTGTATCTTTCTACCCGATCTCTTTGCCTCCTTGAGACAGATTCCCATTCATCTCATGACTATATAATTTGATCACAGTTGAGTAAGGCACAGCAGGGGAAAGGGTCTGTCTGATAAAGTATCAGGCTCCAGGAAGATAGATAAACAATTTCATGATTTCTAGTTGTAACAGGAATGGTACAGTGGTGGATATGAAGATATTAGTCTCGTAGGAATACAAATATCAACCTTCTGCAGTTTTTTTTCTCTTACTAAATATGTTTTGTTTCCATTAAGTAAAAATGACAGATTGACTCTGATAAACTAAAATAAAATGCAAGGTGCATGCAAAAAGTGGAATTAAATGTTTTCTGTTTTTTCAGTGGGGAAGTTTGTACAAAACTTTTACAAGTTTGTAAGCGAAAAATTAGAGCAAGGAAGTTTCTTCCTCAGGGGGCATTTTTACAGCAAAGAAACATTGTTTAAAAGTAAAACAGTTGCCTATCAAATTGAGTTGACTCAGATTTAAACCTCCTCTTTCACAAGGGACACATTGGCAAGCAACTCCTCTGCTACAAGTCACTAGAGAAACGCCTGTTCGCAAAGCTACCTCATTGTTCTACATGTATTAAATGAAGGCTGGAGTGACAATGTTTGAACAGCAATGATGGACTTCTCTTCCATATATTAACACACGTATTTGGTTGGAATATAAAACCACAAATATATAGCAGCCATTATTAATACAAGTTCTGGTAGCTGGCAAACATTACAATGTCTTTGCAATTACCTGCTGTTTTGGATAGCTGAGAAGCATGGTCATACCCAGTCATGCTGACACCTGCTTTTATTTATAAAAATTCAAGGAACAAAAAGACATTTTACAGCAGTTTTTAGTTACAGACCCTAGATGTTATCTTTTTTGTTTAAGAAAATATATTCTGGAGCAAGCAATTTTTAAAGCTATCATACCATCTAATTTAGTAGCACTTACCTGTGATTCTTTCACATTTTCAACAGTGAAGTTGAACCAGACTCGAAAGCGTGGGTTACAGGTATCTGGTCTGATGAACAGGTCATACTCAAACTCTGTGACATGGTCCACCCGTCCAAGGTTCCCTGCCAGGAACATATGAAAAAGAATGCATTTTAATGAATCAACTCCCCAGGAACCACACTGAGAAAAGTTTTAAAAATTTCTACCTCTGTTGGTTAAAATATACAAGTATAATAAGCCTTACAACAGTTCATAACTGCTTTTAAACGGCCTAATCATAGTCAAAAAATAAAACATATATCAAAAAGAAGACAACATGCATTTTTATTATTCAATTCAATTGACCTTTTGCCTCCTCTTACCTGAGTATTCCAATTATGTGCCTTAAGATCCTTTTAATTGTTTCTTTTTTCCATTTTTCTGCTGATGTCTCTGCACATCTTTTAGCCCCCACCTCTATGGATTTCTTTCTTTCCAATTGCTGCTCATGTTCAAGCCCCTCCAAGACTAAAAAGTCCCCACGTTTCCCCCTGGCTCCTCTGGCTGGTGCTCTGAGCATCCCTTTCCCCCCACAGATGGGCCAGCATTCCTCTCCTTTTTGATTCAAAAACTATCTCAATACTTTTCCTGAACTAACACCTCTTTCCAAAGAAATAAAGAGATTTTGCCTCAGCTTGTTCCTAGTGAATGTCATGGAATAATATTTTTAAATGTAGTCAGAGAGACATTGTCCCCTATGGCATTATCCAGCAGGCAACCACCCTGGCTATAGAAATAAAGTTCAGCACTGGGAAAACCCACTAAGTGCTTTTAAATTGCTAAAATGGCATTTTTTCCTTTGAAGTGTGCCAAGATTTTTAGAGACAGGGTTTAAACTGTCCAATTCATTTATACACCACAAAAATAAGACCTTACATTTTCCTGATTCAATCCAAAACTCACCTTACCAGGTCTTGTAAGACAGGGCCATACTCTAGCTCACATGCTAAATTACATTTATTTTAAAAATAAATTAAAAATAGCACTGAAACATGGGTTACAAATATATTTTTGGGGTTAGATATATATTTTTGGGTTGGAAATATATTGTCGCATTCAAATACGTATTTATAAAGCTAATTGAGCTAAACAATTCCCTTCTCAGCAAGTCCCATGGCAGTCAATAGGACTGTTCTCTGCTAACACACTGCTCAGTACCAGCACAAGCAGCAAAATTTGGCTGATCTGCTGTTCTGGACTGGAAAAGAAGCAGGGAAAAACTCTCTTCATCAATATATTTCCAGGATTTCTTCCTTATCCTAAATTGTTTCTAGCTCTACTAATGGAACATTTTTAATCTTCCCTATTTTTAATGTTATCCTCTACTTTCCTACCCACATCCCTCTTTTCAGAAGAAAATTCTCTCCACTGCTTCCCTCTGCAGAGACCCACTCCACGCTCACAATCTGTTCCTGAGCGCTCGCCTCAAGGAGACACTTGGCATTGGAAATATTTGAAAAAACAGCTCTATTGTACAGCCAGAATTCCTCTGCCAAATACCAATAATGTCACCTGCCATCCTGGGTGTTGAGTGTGGGGCTGCAGGTTGAGCTCCCTGAGCCCATTCCAGCCTGTTCCCGATGGTCCCAGCCGGCTCCACAATGGTTGCAGGCCACAGCACAGCCCGGTCCCTCGGCCAAGGTGGAGGCACCTTGTGAAAATGTGTTTAAAAAAGGGCAAAACCCACCCAGAAGGGTGAGGGAGGCTGAGGAGAACAGGGGCTTGAGGAGGAGGAGGAGGAGGAGGAGGAGGAGGAGTGGGGTGCTCTGGGCGCCAGGGCAGAGACTCTCGTGTGTCCTGTGGGGAGAGGCTGGAGTAGGTGGATGTCTCCTGAAGGAGCAGCGGCCCACAGAGGAGCCAGGCTGGAGCTGGCGCTCCTGCCGGGCCCTGCGGGCTGTGGGAAGGGAGGGCCCAGGCTGGAGCAGGGGAGCTGTGTGAGGAGGGAGTGACGGCACAGCACCGACCGCAGCCCCCATCCCCTCGCTCTGCTCCTTGTGAGTGGGGTGAAGTTGATCCTGGGAACAAGGAAGGATGGGGAGGAAGGCATTGTTCTAGTTTTTCTTTGTTTCTTACTATCCAAACCTGTTTTAACAGGTAACAAATTAGTTTCCCCCAGTGGAGCCTGTTTTGCCTGTGAAGGCCATTGGTGAGGGATCTCCCTGTTTGTATTCGACCCAAGAGCTTTTGCACCTTATTTTCTCACCCCTGTCCTGTTGAGAAGTGTGGGTGAGATTGCTGGATGGGCATCAAGCAGCTGGCCAAGGCCAACCCACCATATCTCCTGGCTTTAGGTGAAGTCCTTGACACAACTAAGTGCACTTTCTGCCACAGGGGTCAAACCCATTAAACCCATCACTTACTGACAACAAAAGAACTCAAATCTTAACATAAACTACAATTTCCTACAGATTATTATCCAAAGTAAATAAGAATAGCAAAACCAAGCTATTGCATTGTAATACCTTTAAATAAAGGACTTTGTTTTTCTGTATTTTTCATTAAATGTCATGCATAAATTACACAGCTGGGATAATAATATTCTTTGGATATTTTAAGTGGTCCAAGCTGTTAATCCAAAAAGGTTGGATTCCAGTTGCCTCACAAGTCACAGTTTAAGCTCTCTCTGGACAAAGCTTGGTGTGTGGATGCCCAGAGTTACTGCAGCTGAGCATCCTGTTGGATCCTCCAAGGTTAGAGCAGCAGGCTGGCTGGACACAGACTGTGGACCAGGTCCATGTATACTATGTATACATGACTCCCAGTGATCCCAGCAATTCCAGATACAGATTAAGTTATCTGCAGCACAGACCAGAGGTGCAAATTTTGATCGAATTACTTGCAAAGAAGGACACAGAGGCAATTAAATTCATATTTTAAGTTCAAAGACCATTAAAACCTTGTACTGCAAGGCATAGGAAACTAAAAGATTATTAAGTGAATAATTAAAACAGAGCAAAAGGAGACCTTGATTTTGACCTATTGCACATTTCAGTTTCTTTTTCAACACCAAACTGATCTGAATTGTATGGGAGACAGATGACCCACTCAGAAGTACTTTATGGAATCCACAGGATCCATAAACTAGCAGAGGAGGACTGTACCAATGTCAGTGAAATCACTGATGGTGAAGTGCTGGTGTGCTGGAACCACTGCCATCCAGTCTGCTCTGGAAGACCTATCTACCCATCTCAAATCCAGCAGTGTCTCTGACAGTTTAACCATCGTGTGCTCAATTCTCCAGGAGTCCCAACACTGTTTTCTCTCTTGATTCGAATACTCCCTTCCCTCCTAAATCAGTATTTTTCGCTTTTGCGAGTCGCATCTCACTTTATTACTTTTGCCCACAGAACTGTCCCTTCCCAGGCTCCCTCAGAGCACACATCAGCTGCCATTGTCACCTGCAGCCATTTGCAGTTCAGTGTCATTGGAACATTTCATTAGCACACTATTTCTTCTCTGTCTTCCAGATGCTAAAGAGGCTGGACTGAACACTAATGCCTTCGGTAACTAATTCAACAAGTTCCTCATGCTCAATAGACTATTGTTTGTAATATCACAGCCTTTGCTCACAATCTGTCAGCCTAATTTCAACCCACGTAGCAATGTCATTAAACAAGACGGCAGTTTTGGTACAAAGAAGCCTAGAACTGTAGGAACAAAACACCTCCTCGCTTTAAGAGATGCTTTGTAGAAAACTGATAATGCCACTGAAAAACATTTTTCGGTGTCCAAGAGAGGATATAAACTTCTCAGTGTTAATCTCACAAACGAACTGACCAGTTTTATGTACTGGCTTCACACTGCTGAAGTCATGGGAAATACATTTATTCTAATGAATGAGAATTATATTCCAGTACCTCAGGTAACATAGTGAAGAGCATTAGAAACCACGAAACAGGAATTAAAACGTTGATTACAGCATTCCATTTAGACATTAAACCATTATAATACTTTAACATCGAAAATAAACATTTTTTTCTTAAGTGCAAAGCACTTCTAACCTGATTTTTTTAAATATCTCTATAAGGTTCCTTAAAACTTCTCCGGGTCACAGGAGTCTCTGTGTGATTATGTAATACACATTCTGCTTTGCAATACCTGTGGTAAACAGTTTCGGTGTTGAAATGATGACAAATATAAGAGAGAACCAGATAGCACCAATTTTGAGTCATAGTTTTCAGTCTTGATACAACTACTGCAAGACCCTTTGCATGCAGTTTTTATTCTGGGTACATTTCTAGTCTGGTAGTTTGTGGTATCAGTAAGAGAGTCTGTCCACAACCACATTGATTAAGTATGTTCTTTTAAAATCAAAATAAAATGTCTCACATTACTCAAACATCAGCTTTGCTTTACTTCACTTTGACTTCATGCCCATATGAACTCATCACCACTCCATTCAATAAACTCAGAAGTTATATATATGAGATTATAAAACATTTTTCAAAGCCTCGTCACTCCATAATTTTTGATTAGCATTATATTTGGGGGTTAACATTATAAAGCATAAGATATTAATAATGTTATTTAAGGTACATGTAAGATTAAAGAACTGACTGAGTAACTGACCTGAAAGGGAAAAAAGCCCAACAACATTATGAGCAGTAAAATCTGAACTGATTGGCATTCTAAACAATTCTTGTTTACTTTTTTTTAACAGGTCTAATGCACATCTGGTTGTCAAATGGCTTTCTGACTATATCCTAAAAGTAAAACAAACAATCTATTAGGCGAGCCAGCACTTTACAAAACATTATGGATTTTCTCTCCTATGCACTCTGAAATTAGTTGCAGGGGCTTTTTCTATTATTATTTTACTTTACAGAAATACTGGCACAGATCTTTTTAAACTTATGGGAAGATGTGAACAAATCAAATTCCCAAATGTCTATAAACTGACTTTCACTTAGCCTTGGGGTTTGTTTTTAAGACACGCTCAATTTTCAGTCACAGTTCTGTTCAATACTCTCAGCATACTGAGAAAAGAGGAGACATACTTTCCTTTAATCATTCAAGCTGAAATTCTTAATTATATTTGCTTAAATTGCTTTACAGAGTAATGTTTAGTGCAATACTCTGAAAA